AAGTTTGATCCCATATGGTCATATGGGTTCCCCAGTCCCTTAGCAAGGAGTAATCCCTCAGCACAACCAGATGTGGCCCAAACAACTCCCCCACAAAAAGGTGAAAGTTATTTTGATACTCTATGCATAATTACTAAATGTAAAAATTCTTTATGTTTTGAAAATAAATTACTAGATTTGTGTTACTGTCATCTCATAGGTAAATCTATTCATCAAAAAAGTTAAAAGTAATATTTTAATGATAACTAGGTATCTGTCTTCATATGTATAGCAAATGCACTTAGTATAATGTGATACTTTGAATGTATACATTATAGTGTCTGTTCAGAAAAGATTTAACATGGCAGGGCTGACTGCTGATCTTTGGAAGGCTTTATTTTAAGGTTGAACCTTGGCTGGCATATGGGAACTTGGATCTCAGGAAGGTTCCCAAATGAAAAATACACTATTCCTCTTTATTTAGGTAAATTGTAAGCCTTATGTTGAACACCTGCAGTTGCCCTTTTGGGAGTTTGGAATTTTGGTATCTGCCAGGTAGAGCAGCTTTCACATGACCAGCTTCCCTTCTTGGCAATATTTTATCAGTAGGTTGAAGAATTAAGAAATCTTGAATAAATTCCATGTTCCTGGATTCTAGAAGCTTTTAGGATTCTAGGAGTCCAAAAACTTGCACTGGATTTTCCCTTGATTCTGCCTATATATTTTTGGGACTTGTATCTTCCACTGTGACAAGTTATAGCCCCAAGTCCAACTCTGTGTGTGGTCCATGGATACTCCTAATCCATTATCAAAACTGGGCTGGGCTGAGTACTTTGTACACATCTAATGTGTATGGCAAATCAGATATCTAATAATCATGTGTTGGTACTTAAATTTATAGATGCAGTGAGATACATCTAGAGGTAGAACACAAGCTTTTTTTCTTCAATTAAGTTTTTCAGTTAAAACCCTTCCTTCAAGTAAACCTTGTAAATTAGATTTGATCTTCTGAGAATACTTTTTTTAAAATTTTTATTAGTGAGACACCAGGAGGTACAGTTGTAGACTTACAAATTTTGTGCTTCGGTTTCAATTATACAATGATCAAATACTCATCCGTGGTGGTGGGAAATGGGCACTGGTGGGGAGAATACTTTTTTATCTATAGCATTCCATTCTTATTTAAACATGTTTTCCTAAGACAAATACATATATGCAAAAATCAGATGGAAGGATATGAAGCCTACTAAAAAATTAGGTACTATCCAAATATAAGTAAATATAATCATTTTGGCATGGGATTTGGCATACCTGTTTAGTAGTAGCACTGTAGCACTGTCCTCCCATTGTTCATCAGTTTGCTCGAGCGGGCACCGGTAACGTCTCCATTGTGAGACTTGTTGTTACTGTTTTTGGCATATCAAATATGCCATAGGGAGCTTGACAGGCTCTGCCGTGCAGACAGGATATTCTCGGTAGCTTGCCGGGCTCTCAGAGAGGGACAGAGGAATCAAATCTGACGGTTGTGTGCAAGGCAAACATCCTACCTGCTGTGCTACCTGTTTTTAAATTTAAGGAATAGTCTTTTTAACTCACTTTCCCCCTTAGACATTCTTTAAATAATAAGCACCATGTCCAGTTAATAAATATTTAAAAATGTTTTAATATTTTTCAGACGTATACCGTGGAAACAGTAAGTCACTTAAAAAAGACATAGGAGAGGAAACTAGGAAATGTAAAAATAGTCCGTGTTTCTGGACTGGAAGAATTATTATTGTCACAATATCTATTCTACCCAAAGCACTATAAGATTTAATGTGTTTTTCCACCAAAATCCGTTATGTCTTCAAGGAATTAAAACAAACACTACTGAAATTTGTGTAGAAACATAAGACCCAATGAATAGCCAAACCTTTCTTGAAAATAAAGATTTTTGGAGATTGCATTCCCTGACTTTATACTCTAAAGCTGTAGTAATTAAAGCAGCACATTATTAGACTAAAAGATAAGCTGATATACTGCTTGAAGCACATTTACTGATTTCCACTACATACTAACTTATAGCCTCTTAAATTATGGGTAGTGACCTTACATGGGGCATCTAGCTAATTGGAGGATTGTGAAAATTTTGACAACACTGAAGTTTTCTAAATGTGTAACAGCCAAAAATTAATTAAAATTAACCATAATGAATCTGAGATGTTTTCAGTACTGCTTCCCCATTTTATTTCTCAGGCAACAAGAGATTGTATGTGGGAAAGATACTTGCCTTGTACACAGCTGACCTAGGTTTATTCCTCTGCTCCTCACAAGGTGCCCTTAGCCCTTGAGTACAGAACCAGGCACCAAAACAAAACTAACAAAAACAAAGTTACAGGCTACTGAAGTGAACTCTTTTGATGTTTCTGAAGTATCCTTTTTTTCCCTTTCACTCCTTGTCTACCAGGCAGCTCCTTTAAGTTCAGGTTTAACTATATAGTACAGTGAGTAAGGAGCATGCCTTGTATGCGGCCAATACAGCCCCCAAGTCCTTCCAGGAGTAACCCAGAGCACTGTCGGGTGTTGTTCAAAGCACATCTCCCTTTAAAAATAATAGAAAACTTAATTAAAGCAACTTTAATACTTATGGTTCCAGGGAAGAAACAGTTTTGTTAATATAAATCTTACCAATGTCCCCAGCTTTGTCTCTGTTCTTTCAAATATTTTTTTATATTTTTATTTATTTATTTATTTGTGGAGAGTGGTCCCATCATGGCTGGACTGGCTCCGGAGGTCCTCAGCTGCTGAGGCTCTGCTCAGGGCGACGGGGTGGGGGAGAGAAACTCTACCCTCCCCCCTCCAAGGGGCCCTCGTGAGGACAGCCAGCCGCGGGGGCAGGAGACTCTGTGCTGTTCTCTGGGAGCTGGGTTTTATAGTCTCTGCGTCTTGGCTGTTGATGGGACCAATCTGGCTCTGGCGGCAGCTGGCATGTGTTATGCCTCCCTACTGGAAGATGGCAGGGAGGGATCTGGGTGGAGAAGGCCCAGTCCCAATCTGAGTAGGCTTGGAGACCTCAGCCCCGGATCCGCATGCCTGGGTTCCTCTGCCAGTTATTTCATGCATGAGGCCCGTCTGGACATGTGGAGAGTGGTCCCAGCATGGCCGTGGCTGGCTCTGGAGGTCCTCAGCTGCTGAGACTCTGCCTCATGCCTTTCATGCCTCATGCATGAAAGAACTGGCAGAGGAACCCAGGCATGCGGGTCCAGGGCTGAGGTCTCCAAGCCTACTCAGATTGGGACTGGGCCTTCTCCACCCAGACCCCCCCATCTTCCAGTAGGGAGGTGTCACACACACCAGCTGCCACCAGCTCCAGGTTGGTCCCATCAACGGTCAAGACGCAGAGAGTATAAAACCCAGCTCACAGAATCGCTTGGCCGCAAATGCGGTCACACAACATCTTATTATCTTATATTTCCTTTGGAGAGCCTGGCAGGCTACCAAAAGTATCCTGCCCACACGGCAAAGTCTGGCAAGCTTCTCATGTCATACTCAATATGCCAAATACCAGTAACAATGATGAGTCTCATTCTCCTAGTCCTGAAAGAGCATCGAAATGGCTCTTTTAAAATCTCAGGGCTAGGAAGAAAGAGACGTTACTGGTGCCTGCTCAAGGAAATCGACGAACAAAAGGATGATCGTGATTGTGATTTATTTATTTTTTTATTAGTGAAACATCATGAGGTACAGTTATAGACATACAAATTTTTGTGCTTGGGTTTCAGTTATACAATGATCAAGTACCCATCCCTCCACCAGCGCCCATCCTCCACCACCACATGTCTCAGCATCCCTCCCACCCCCCATCCCCCCATCCTGCCTCTGTGGCAGGGCATTCCCTTTTGTTCTCTCTTCCTTTTGGGTCCTGTGGTACTGTTCTTTCAAATATTTTATGATGCATTAATATCAGGCAACTATTTTTTGTTTGTGTTGGGGAACACACCCAATGGTGCTTAGGACTTATTCCTGACTCTGTACTTAGGGATCACTTTTGGTGGGCTCAGGGAGCCATATGGGATGATGGGGACTGTATCCACCTTGGCTGCATGCAGGACAAGAACCCTGCCCACTCAGTCTCTCGCTGTATTGTCTCTCCAGCCCCTATCAGCAACTATTTTGTAAGTGTTGTTTATAATGTGTGTTTCCTTGGAACATGATGGTCCAACAAATGCAAATTTGGTGGGCTTGTAGGTATATGCAGAACGTGATAAATGACTGATGGGCTTGTATGCAAAATGTGATAAGTGATATTCTAACTTTGAGGGTGTAAATCTGCTACTCACTAGATAATGACTTCTTAAGTTCAATAGTTTTATCTTTTCATTTCCTGTTGCTAGAAGTATCAACCCCTGGTCTGTATTGACTGATTGAATTTTACATCTTAATGTAGATGTAAATTATAACACTGTAAAATGTTCTAATAGATTCAAGATAACAAGAAGGTGGGTGCCAAACATTTATTACTGGCAGTATCATCACTGCAAAAAAAATATTAACTTCCCATTTGAAGTTCACTAGGTGCTAAATTTCCTCCTCTCCTCTCCTCTCCTCTCCACTCCTCTCCTTCCCTCCCCTCTCCTCCGGTCTCCTCCTCTTCCCTCCCTTCCTCTCCTCTCCTACCCCCTTCTCTTCCCCTTCTCCCCCACTCCCCCTCCTCCCCTTCTTCTCCTCTCTATTCTTTCCCCTCCTCTCACACCCTTCCCTCCCTTTATCCACACTTCCCTCTCCTTGTGTCCTCTTCTCCCCTATCCCCTACCCCACTCCCTCTTCTCCTTCACTTCCCTCCCTCCCCTTTTCTTCCTCCCACCTTGCCTTCACTTTTCCCTACTCCTTCCCTTCCCTTGCCCTCCTCTCCTTCCCCATCCCCCTCCCCTCTCTTCTCTTTCCCTTCCATTTCCCCTTCTCTCCCTTCCCCTCCCCTATTTCCCCCTTCCCCTTCCCACTTTCCCTCCCTGCCCTGTCTGTCTCTCTTTTTTTCTCATCAGGAATCCTCATCATGATGTCTATGTGCAGTGAAGTGCATGTGTATGAGTATCTACCTTCTGTCCGCCAGACGGAGCTTTGCCATTACCATGAGCTGTACTACGACGCGGCCTGCACACTTGGAGCCTACCACCCACTGCTCTATGAGAAGCTGTTGGTGCAGCGTCTGAACACTGGTGCCCAGGGGGACCTGCACCACAAGGGCAAGGTGGTCCTGCCAGGGCTACGGGCTGTGCGCTGCCCTGCTCCCAATCCTGCTGTTCCCCAGTCTTGAAATCACCTTTGGAGATGAATGTGCAATAAGGTACTACTGTTGTACAATAAATCACAGAAGAATACTTGAAGATATATTTTAGGCAATGTTAGTCTTGAGTCTTTAAACTGTAGTTTAGTGGTGGCCATCAGAATTCTTCTCTTCCTAAGCCATTGAGTATCACTGCTTTGAATATAGAATGAAATTTTTTAAAATAAAAGCTTGAGAAAGATCTTTTAAAAGGGAGAATAGTTTGCAGGAAAATGCAAATGTATAACAAATGAATGCTGTACATTAACAAATGTTAACTTCCTTTCTGCTATGGACACCTCTTTCAGGGTTGGTTTCAGCTACAGGTTTCAGTGATATACACCTTTATGAAGTGGTTTCTACCTAGAAAAAAAACTCAAGTTGAGCTGTGTTGTTTGTAGCACTTAGTGTGTCAGTTTTACATGCATTCATCATTAAAGGTTCTAGAGTTTCTGACAAATATCTGAGCTATTATTAAGATGTGTTTGACAACAGAAATTTCTCAGAGGAAGTGCACATGTTTCAAAATATCTCTGCTTTCAGTTGCTTGCTGAATCCTTTCTTTGTATCCAGACAAATTTCTAAAACCCTAAAGCACCCACTTTGAGCAGTCCAAGAAAAGGCTTTTCCTGGTATGCTACCACTGAGGATTCACTTTGCTTTCCCATAATACTTCTTAAACCAGCTAGAAATGCAGGATGAACCAGATGGAGCAGAATATTGTCAGTAAGACAGTACAGTCAGGGAGTTGCAGGGTGCCCTGGACTTTTTATCTCCTTACCTCCCCACATGTCATCTACCCCCAAATCCTCTCATAGTAACATGCACTGGCATTTAACATATTTAGCATGTCTGATGAGAAGGTTTCCCCCAATCAAAATAAAGACTTAGGGTGCAATAACCCTGTGCAATAACCTGTATTTCTCTTAACTCAATTTCATGGAGGTTACTATCAGCTATCAACCTGACAGGGTTGTACTGAATTATTGCTAGTTCTGCCTAAAAGGCAGATATTTAAGAATTTCCTCTTTGGGCCAGAAATATGAGTCAAGAACTGGAACACAGACTTTAGTGTCCAACTACCCTCACTTCCCCAGAGAGAATCTTTCCCTGTTTTTTTTTTAGATATATTTTACGTCATCAACATAACAAAAATCATACATAGAATTGTCTGCAGTCATTGTTTTTTAATAAAGGAAATACATATATATATTAGAGTTTTAGCAGCTTGAGAGAAAATTGTCATCTCAGTGTGTTAGTTATATTCAGTTATATTTATTTTTATTTCATGTTTTTGTGGTTTGTGGAAGTCAGGGCCTCACACGCAAGATGCAGGCACTCTACCACTGAGCCACATCCTCAGCCTGTTACTCAACTTTCATTACTTAAACATTTAAAAATGAAAAACAAAAACTTTTTTATACAGTTAAATAAATATTTTAGAATAACTTAATTATAACATTAATTTTAATTTATAACCAAAACATATCTCACCGGTGCAGTTAAGACTTCATGGCAATGACAACAGCAATTTAATCCATGCAAATGTGTGATATCAGGAAAGTTAATTGGAAAAATCATTTATTTCCACAGCATTCTGAGAACCATTTTCTTCAATGATAATGTCTTACAGAAAATAATAGCTTCTGTTTTTCGGTTAGTCCATGCTATAAAAGCCAGGCTGGAAAAAGGACACCTTGATTTTCTTATTAGTGCATAATTGGAAAATAAAGACTAATTGTAAAGTTTTAATTAAGACACCAAAAGCCTATTTCAGAATCTATGAGAAGACTCAATGATTTTGTCCTGCACACCTGCACATGTTAAGTTACACAGACGTGGGCCAAGTCACTTTTCATTACGATTTGCATGTTTGGACGGTGGAGCCAGTGAACTTTACTCTGGTGAAATAGCTCTACTGAACCCCCTTCTTGCAGCCTTGGCTTTACCCATACCTGCCAGGTCTGCCTTTAAATGCCATGGTTTTGACTTTACCTTCACAGACAACATCCTTTCCTTACAACCTTAGTAAGATGTCCTTATTATCCAGGGCATCCTCATGGATGACATGAGATCTTGGTTGGAGGGAAGTTTATAGGGGTTGATGTAATTATGCCAATTGAAAACTCCAAGAAAATATTTCAGATATTTTAAATACCATTTTATTATTGCACATACACTTCTTTTAAGTAATTTTGATCTCATTGAGGTATGAAAAAGAGTAAAGGTCACAAAAAAAAAACAATTACAATTTTGAACTTTAATAAAGGCCTTAAAGACTGTTGGGAATCTGGGTCATTAAATATTTGGAAAATATATTACACATTTCACTATATCATAGATTGAGTTTTTTCTGTTCAAAAGTTTAAATTGTTTAGAGTCCCAAATAAATTAGGTATTGTAGTTAATATTAGCCATATTGGTCCCAAGTGGCAGTATTTTGCAAGACATTAAATCATTGTATGTCAAATTTACTGAGTGGCAATAACCACATGGCCATTCTCTGGAGTTAACAATACAAGTTTTCCCACTCTGTTCTTCCCAGTCTCTGTCCCTTCCAGAACTTTCCATTCACTTCTGTGAAGGGATGCTGATGAAATCATTACGGTGCAACCTGAAGCCATAACTTGGCCATTTCCTAACTCTCAGGACTAACATTGTTTTGCTGCTTTACATTTCAAGATAACTTCACTTGTTTTTTAAAGTTTTATTGTTATTTTGATTAAAAAAATGGGCATGCCTGAATCAGGAATGATAACTTATCTACATCTGTGTTCCATTTCCTGATTTCCCAATATGTCTTCCAGATACTAGGACAAGGTTTAATGGATTCAGGGTTCCTACTATTTCCGAGAAATACCAGGGATGCCCCACGAAGTCTTTACAGGCATACATTTATCAAGAACTTTGTGTGTAGAAGCACAAGGTGGTCAGTAAAAACTTGCATGCAAATATCAGGGATTTATGTTAAGAAGGAATGAGGGATTTTTGTACATCTTTCATTTACTGGGTCATTTGCCTAGATGCGGGACTCAGAAGGACCTTCCTTTAGCTATAGCATTTCTTAGATTCTTGTGCTCTTCAGCTGTCTCTGAGCCAAAAACTTTATCAGTACTATACTTTCTAGTAGTCACCAGTCATTATTTCCAGAACACCTGGACAAAGTAATGCTGAAATTATAGGATGATGTCTTCAAAATTGAGAAATAAAAGTAGCTGTTTAAGGTTACTGTAAGGTGGTTTGTTACATGTTTATGAACTCATTCATTCTGGTGGAACAGATTAATACCTGGCTATTGGCAGAGCCCTCTGGGCAGGAATAGCTGTATTCACTGAATCAAGTATGTCTTTGTTGGCTGCAATAAATGGAGCACAAGTGTCACATGAGTAATTGAATATGGGATAATTTTGTGTCAAAAATGTGATTAAGGTTCTCTCCAACCTTCCTTAGAGATTCAGTGCACAGTACATTTGCAGCTGGTGACAAAGAAACCTGGCCTTATCCTTTATCTTTACTATGGGAAGAGACAGAGAAAGGATGAGGAGTTACTGAGAAATACATGATAAAATACAGAGACCAAATAATCTCTGAATATTGTCTTTTCAACTTCTCACTTTAGAGCTTTTACTCAGTAATTTCATGAATAAAAGCAGCCACATTTAGAAATTAAGTGCTTAGTTTAAAAATATACCTGGTTTCAAATCAGGTACAGACCTGTTTTTTTAATACTCTGGGTTTTTTCACTGTGAAATGATTCTGCATGTTTCTTTCACTTGGACATTATTTACAGAATTGGTCAGTGAAAGATATTTCTTTCAATTCAAGGAAATGTAAGTTTTGATTCTTGTTTTATTAAGTGAATGAAACCTTTTAGTAAAAAAAATAAATCTAGCATATTTCTCTACAAATGATAGGCTAATAGAATTTAAAGAATTAAAGACATTGATATAGTTCTTACTCTTGTTATAAAAATTATGCATATAGATATAGTTATATAATTGTATATATGCGTATCTAATTATATGTTTGGTTTATATTGTCTCTTCATCAAACTTTATCTGAAATATTTACAATACATTTTATTTTAATTATGCAAACACCAATATGTTAAGTGAAGGAAGCCAATATCATATGCCCAGTTAAAATAATTTAAGTCTTTTGGAGCCAGAAAGGCAGTAAAGTGGGTAAGGAATTTGCCTTGCATGTGGCTGATTCCTGTTGAATCCCTGGAACCACATATGTTCTCGTGAGCCCTGTAAGGATTTATCCCTGAGCACAGAACCAGGAATAAACCCTGGGCACAACTGGGCATGGCCAAAAAAAGTCTTCCAACATATGTTTTCTACATATTATAGCTATGTTCAAAAGTATGGCAGAAATATTTGGGCTAGAGTGCTAGCACAGCGGGTAGGGTGCTTGCTCTGCACACGGTCAACCCAGATTTGATTCCTGGCATCCCATATGGTTCCCCAAGCATTGCCAGGAGTAATTTCTGAGTGCAGAGCCAGGAGTAACCCCTGAGCATTGTGGGAATGACTCCTCAAAAAGAGAAAAAAATTAGAAAGCATTCTAAAGATAGAACATAGTACCAAAAGATTGTATCCCAGTCATATGCCTAATGCTCATGACTTTGACAAGACCTCCCATTGTTCATCGATTTTGCTCTAGCAGACCCAGTAACGTCTCCATTTTTTTTGAGCTTGTTGTTACTGTGTTTGGCATATTGAATACATCACGAGTAGCTTGCCAGGCTCTGCCATGCAGGCAAGATACTCTCAGTAGCTAGCCGGGCTCTCCAAGAGGGGTGAAGGAATTGAACTCGGGTTGGCCATGTTGGCTGCGTGCAATGTAAACGCCCTACCTGCTGTGCTATCGCAAGACCAGGGGAGAAATATGTATGGAAATGGTCTTACAAGATAGAGTTTGAACATATTTAGTGCATTGCTAGTATGAAAAATCTAATATACATGACACCACACATCCTGTTTTACTCTCAATAAATTTTTCTGATGAAAATGAGTAAACTTTTTTAACAGTTTTAGGAATTTTTTGTATAATAATTTTTAAAAATGAAATGTGTACTCTTCAAACTAATTGAAACTTAAGATTTTCCAGGAGTCACATTTTAAGAGTGTTTGTACACATTTGAACACTTTGATATTTTCTATTTTGGTTTTGTATATTTTTATGTATACACAATGTACAGATTTTTCTTGTAAATAAAACATGTTTTCATTTGACTAGAGTTTGTTTTAATTCTTAGATGTGAGTGGCAAAAAAAGAGCAATTCCTAGAGCAAAATAAAATCCCCAAACACCTGGCAGACAGCCAGAAT